ATTCCGATCACGGGTGTTGGGAGAGACCAGAAGACATGGACACTCTTCGAACCTCCTACGTTCTCTCTCCAACCAAACCTGGTTCTGAACTCTCTGCTGAGATTGCAGCTGCATTGGCTGCATCTTCCATCGCTTTTACCAACACTGATAAATCATATTCACAGTTGCTTATCAACAGGGCTATGCAGGTCTAGTATATATTCTTTAATTTAACTATATTATATATTTATTCTTTCTTTTTTCTTCTTCTAATTATGTCTCTATATCATGCTGCATTCAGGTGTTTGACTTCGCAAATAAATATCGTGGATCTTATAATACTAGTGTTGGTGCCGGAGCATGCCCCTTCTACTGCGATTATAGTGGCTATATGGTATAACATGGTTTTTCAGGCTCATATAATTTTAACTATTTTGTTTGAGGTCACACTCATATATATCATATATATAATATACGAATTAATTAAATTCAGGATGAGTTGGTTTGGGGAGCGGCATGGATATACAAAGCCACTGGTAACAAATTCTATCAGGATTTTGTAAAAGCAAACATCGCATCCTTGAGCGGTGTTTTTCGATTTGGATGGGAAACCAAGCATGCTGGCATATATGTGCTTTCTTCGCAGGTTAATTACTCATATCTTTCATTTTCTCTCTTCAAATTTCATAGCTTAGACTAATATTTTTCAATTCTCATTTATTCCTCCCAATCTTGGCAGTGGGCGATAGCAGATCCATCCAGTTTCAATAATTTCATTCCCAATGCAGATAACTTCATATGCTCTTTGTTGCCCAATTCGCCTACCAGATCAGTCACATACTCTAAAGGTTTTCTTTAAATATATTCCGAAATTTATTTTATTAAGAGCTTAACAATGCGCTTATATACGTGCTAAGAAGAGAAAATATTAAATATAATAATTAGTTAAACTTTATTCGTAACATAAATACCTTTCTTCTTCATTTATATGCATCTTATTCTTTATGTCTTACGTAAGGCACAAGATTGATCGAATTACATCTCATATTACTGAGTGGTCATTAGGTGGGCTTCTATTCAGAGAGGGATCAAGTAACCTACAACACACAACCGCTTATTCGTTTCTTACAATTGTTTATGCACGCTACATACATAATGCAAAGAAAACAATAGCTTGTGGGAATCAAGTTGCCGACTCGGCTACGCTAATAAATCTTGCAAAAAGTCAGGTATACATGCAAATATATATTGCAACAGGTTAATTTTGGTTTTATTTTTTATTGTTGGTGAAATTGATAATTAATTAATTAAAGTACAAAATACTATATTGTAGGTGGATTACATATTAGGAAACAACCCATTAGGGTTGTCATACATGGTAGGGTATGGGCAAAAGTTTCCACAGAAGATACACCATCGAGGATCAACCTTACCATCCATTGCTGTGCAACCAAACCACATTGGGTGTCACGATGCAAAGCAATATTTCGAAACACAAAACCCAAATCAAAACATCCTAGTTGGAGCTTTGACTGGAGGACCTGCAGACAATGATTCTTATGAGGATTCACGCTACAATGTTAGCCAATCAGAGCCAACCACGTACATCAATGCTCCATTTGTTGGTGTTTTGGCTTATTTCACCAAACCTACTATTACTTTTACCTAAGAATCATTACAAATTATCAATTACTTCTAATTGCACAATGGACTCCTTCTGTTGTATATTGCTTGATGTTTGTTAGATCAATAAAGTATTAATTCTTTCTCTATTAGACCCTTAAATATTTATTTATTGCGAATGAAGTGAGAAAATAACATATATTTATATATGAGAAATGCTAATATATTTCCACCTATTTTTTAGTGGGAGTATATTAGCAACTTACACTAAAATTTTATGATAAAAAAATTACTTTTTTATTTGTTTAATTCGTACAAAAAATATTATAATAATTTAATTTAATTTTAAAAGAAAATAAAATATATTATCTCTCTTATTAACTTCATTCACTAAGTCATTTCATGAGAGTTAAGAGAGAAATGAGTTAAAGAACGAATTTAATATGAAAGAGATAAATAAGTTAGAGAAAGAATTTAATAGAAAAGAGAAATGGGTTGGAGAAGGAATTTAATAGGCGAGAGAAATGACTTAATAAAAGAAATTAATAAGAGAGGAAAAATATTTAATTTTTATTTAAAATTAAATTAAATTACTATAATATCTTTTATACAAATTAACCAAATCAAAAGAAATGGGTAGCTTTTTTGTCCTATAATTTTGGTGTAGGTTGCTAAGGGCATCTCCAATGCAAGCAACTCATTTGAGTTGCTTCATACATTAAAAAATTAAAAAAGTGGTCTCTAGTGTGTCATGTCAGCATTAAACAACTCAAACATAAATTTACTCCAATGACGAAACTTTAAGAAATTCAAATTTTAGAATTTTTTTTTCTAATCATTTATGAACCAAATTTAAATTTATATTAAAAAAGATAATTGCACTACGATAAAAGAAAATAAATTACGAGAAAAAATACACAATAAGTAGATATTAAAAATAAAATAAAGCAATAATAAATATATAAACATTATATGAAATTAATTTTCATCATTATTCGAAACATTCCCAAATATGTTCAATAAGATAAAGAAGCAACTCTCTCTCTTCTTCAAGCAACTTATGTTGCCACGTCAAAATCTTCTAATGACAAGAAACCGGGACTTGAGTTGCTTCATGGGACAAGTAACTCTTATTGAAATTGCTCTAACATACTCTCACTAAAAAATAAGTGGGAGTATATTAGCATTTCCCATATATATATATATAT